TTTAATGGCCTGGTGCCCCAGCCTCATTGCTGCCTGTAGAGTGTCACACTTCAGCTTTGTGCAGCAGGTGACGGTCCCTGGAAACAGAAGCTGAAATCCATTTCTCAAAGTGAGCAATCCCTTCCAGCAGGACAATGCTCTAAAGGTGTTGGCAGTATTTTACATGCCAGGAAAGCAGCCCCTTCTCAGAGGGGTGGATGTTGCAGAAGGCAATGAGTAGCTCCCTTTCCTTTTCTTTTTATGGTGACTTATTAATATTCTTGAAGTGCAGAATTAGCTGAAGGCTTTACTACAGAAACACTTCAGTTTGCCTCAGAGCAACTATTTAGACCTGAGGGCCAAAAAGTTCTTTGCAGGCCGGGTTCAAAGGGAAGTGCTGTTGCTAAGTAAAGCTGATGTATCAGGAACAGTGTTCTACGTGAATTTTGTCCTGGGTTTGTGTGTGTAATACAGTTGTGGTATTGTGTATGTTACACTGTCCAGAAGTATTAGAATAACTGCTTTTATCACAGATTAATAARAAATACAGACTAGTTAGGTGTGGGGCTACCTAATTCAAATGTCTGGCTAGGTAAGATTGGTTGAGTTGCAGCAATTTTGGATTTAGAAAGTGGCAGTAACATTCTTACTAGGATCCCAGCCCTTGTTGCGGGCTTTTCATACCCCCTTTCTGGGAGAAGGCAGTTTCTAACTTGTGCTCTGAGTCACACAGCACCTAGCTGATGAATGTAGTTGGTTAAGACAGCAGTTCACCTAATTACCACATTTCTGCTCTCTTCTCCTCCCCAGCCCCCTCACAAGCAGGGCTACCTGATCCCTGCTGGGGGGAGGTTTGCTCTGTTTTCAGCCCATTTCATTCCAGGAATGTCACTGTGATGGTTACATCAAGAGCCCAGTGACCTCGGGGACCTCTTCCCAGTAATGCYGGGCAGTGAAATGAAAATTAAGTGCTGATGACATGCATGAGGCACATTTCAGTTGCCCCTTGAGTTTTGATTGCAGATGGAGTTAGGACTGTCTCTTCCCAGAGCCGTCTGCTGGCATGGGCAGGAGTGGAGGGATGGAGGGAACCTGAGCAGAGCAAGTCCTGCAAAGCAGGCAGGAGGAGAAGAGGTGAAAGCTGAAGTGAATGCTTCAAAAAACAGCTTGAGGGAACAAACAGAGCTCCTGCAATCAGAAGTGGGCTTTGGAGTGGGGTGAGTAGCTAAAGCTTAAATAGATGATTGTCATGTCAGCCTGTTCTGTAGCTGAGCAGCTGATGCCAATGAATCTGCATGGTTCTTGTTTTCTAAGAGCTGCTACATCTTGATTGTACAAAGTAAGCACAGAAACTCACACAGGTTCTTACTTGTGCTCTGACTGATGGTTTGGGTTCTTTTAGAGAGGCTGAAGATTTTGCATTTCCCTTTCTGGGATTGTACTTTGAAATTCTCTAAAGAATAGAAAAAGCTTCTGTTATTGCACTTGAATTTGAAGATGCCATTCCATCAACTCACATGCTTTGCCCTCTAAGGATACAACTGTGGCAGCCCTATTCTGTTGCAGGATTTAATTTTAATCTATGCTGTATTGTGTGAGCATTCTCTGAAGAAGCAATGGAGGTGTATTCCAATCTCAGCAAGCAGAACTTGCTCTGAATGCTTCAAGACTGACAGCATCAGTCAGAACAAGCATTTGAATGCGTAATTACATTATTCTTCAAATAAGGAGTATGATAGGCAAGAAAAAAACATGGGGTTCATTCTGGGTAACTTGATCAATTTGAAAGACTCGTTTCAACAAGTCCAGCCCAGCTGCTTGAGGAACAGGTTGCTCACCCTGGGTTAGACAGGGGCAGGTGTTAATGCAGACAGGTGTTGCTCCTCAGAGGAGCAGAGGGATCATCAGGAACAGGTGAGAGGCCCAAATGGTTCCTGGTGTTTGTGACAAGTGCTCTAGAGCTGCTCCAGCCCTGTTCATGAACACATTTGCAGGGAATAATGTGCTCCATAAAGGACGAGGCCCTCCTGGGTGCTGGGGGCAGCAGGTCCKGCTCAGGTAAAACACTGCACAAGTCCTTCCTCTGCCTTCTGTATAAACAGGTACCATTTCTGATTTTATTTCATTGTAACATACAGGTAATGCTCATGACACAACAAGATGARAAACTCACATCTCTCTGAACCACTTCACCAGCTTGCCATACACCAAACATGCCAAGTATGCCACACACCAAATGCCATACGTTATATTCATATTGAACATGTACACATTTTCCCCTCTCACGTCCTCCACTTTGCTTTCCAGACTTCTGCAAACCATTTCCAGTATTGTTCAGGAGCAGGACTCTAGTTCAGGTATCAGCCAGGGCCCCACCCTGTGCAGGACATGGGGTTAAGGCTTCCTCCTATGGGAACCTGCCCYGTGTAAGTACTGAGCCTACAACTTGGATCCATCCAGAACACACTGGGAATCAYGAGGAGCCACAGGACCAGATTTCAGTTCCTCAGAAGGCGACCGACCAAACCAACCCCAAACATACACAGAAGGGGAGAACACACACATCTGAAGGAGCACAAAAGAGAGGAAGAAGCTGTGCCTCTAGGGATTGATACGTGTTAACCCCTATGAATGGTTTAAATCAAAGCCATGGGCTTTTCCTAAAATGTGGCTGAGAGGAGCCCTGTTTACACAGGTAAATACACACCCAGAGCCTGTGTGCTGGAAATGGCTGTGATGCCATCACTGCAGATGTAAGCAGAAGTGGCAGCATGAACAGCCAACACCTGCCACACTGTCCAGGGTGATGGTGACCTGTCCCTGCCCAGGCCCTCCATCAGMATCTGTGCACATTGAGCACAAAAAGCCTCTGCACTCAGGACTCCTGGAGCTTCCTCTCTCTGTGCCTTTTGCACTTTTTAGGATCAAGTTAATCAATGCTGTAGCTTTCAGTGCTATTTTCAACGGTCCACTGTAGGAAATTAAAAGTTACATCCTAGCCACAAAACAAAACAATGACAAAAATCTTCTGCACTTTTCAATATAGTAAAACCTGAGATTTGAGTCACAAACTAGCTAAACTTACAGTAAAAAAAACCCCAAACATAACCCAAGCTGCTGACTTGAATTAGGGCTTCAGGTTGCTGCTGACAAATTTTTTTTTTAAAGCTGTTGGCCAGGGTTAATTATTTGTTGCTACAATTTTCAGCTGCCTGCACTGAAATGGGACAAAACAATATAATTTGCCCTCAACACACGTTCTGAGGGGTGCTGGGGAAGGCCCTGGGAGCAGGAAGGAGGCAGCTTCACGCAGTGGCTCTGGTACCACCCTCGCTGGCCATAAACCTCTCATGGCAATGTGCACATGAGCAGCAGCCAAGGTGGGAGGGGAAACAGCTGTCAAAAACACGAGAAGGGCTGTTCCTCATCTCCTGTGAAAGCAGGGACGTGACACCTCCTCGAGCTGGACGTGTGTGCTGCAAGTGAGGATGCTGCACAGCCTGGAGTGTCTGCAGTTCCACAGTGCAGCTGCTCTGTTAAGGACAAAAGCTCACCACCCCAAATCATATTTACCTTAAAAAAAAACGAGAAAACCCCAAACATTTTGAATTGGTTTTGAGAAACTGGATTGTTAATGGGCAAGAAAAGCACATTGTGGCCACTTCTCTTGCATGTAGACTTACCTACCACTCTGGTACAGCTTAGAAGCCAAAGCAGCTACCCTTCTCCCAGAAGCCAGCTCAATAGCACAAGTACAAACACTGTAAAAAGACTGGGGGAAACAGTCCTAAGAATGGTTCATTCATCTTTTAAGAATTGCTGCTGAGCCAACTGCAACACTTGTGCGTAGACAGCTTTAAAAAAAAAAAAAAAATCAAACATGGCCAGTCATTACTTGTTCACATTGCTTATGAAATGACTACCGGYATGTGGCAGCCATAAAGCCCTAGTTTATTTTGTGTAGTTTTGAGGTACTGGGTTTTTTTTTTTTTTTTCTCCGAAGCAGCTCTCTAGCAAATCACCTAAAGCCTATCCATTAGAACAATAGTTACACCAGTATTTACATTTGTCTGAACGCTGTGTTCAGACCAGCCTTGCTGTAACCGGTGCCTATGGCCTTTGGAATCGCTCCCAGTCTCCTTTCTTACAGGAAAAAGGTCTCCCTCCAGAGGTTGGCTCAGTGTCAGGGCTAAGGTGCACTGGTGAAGACATGGGGCACAGGGAGGGGAGAACAAAACTGGTTCTGACAGGCAGAAGCACGGTTCAGTGGAACCACAGAAAGGGTTTGACACCAGGAGAGCTTCCTTGTTAAAAGCCACTGAAAGGATGTGCAATCCATTGCATAGAATTGCTTCCTCTGTCATGAAAAAGCCTGCGAAATGTTCTGCCCTTCTCCAGAGAGGGAAGGAGAGCCCAGCAGCACATCTGATCTCCTTGGGCAGAGGCAGTGTCAYCTCTCTGCCGTACCGACCTTTCCCCGGCTCAACGAAGCCTCTGTTTCTTCCCTCCCCCACCTTTTTACCCAAAGTTTCAGATTTCCAGGGACCCCTCGCACGCTGGGGGAGCGTCCCAGAGGGGGAAGCAGCTCTGCCACAGTTCCACAAGCTGCCAGCCCTCAGGACACCTCGATGATTTCCATGCTGCCYGAAAAGCTGGACTGGCTGCCTACTTTGCCCAGTTCCTCCCGGGATCTGTTGTCCGCCAGGATGCTGTCCCCAAACTCCATCTGGCARCTGCGGCGCTTGAACTGCTTCTCGAAGGAGCTCTCCTCGTGCCAGCTGCGCCGCGAGTCACCGCGGTCAGCCTGCCGGGGCCGCCGRCGCACGGCGCTGGGCTGCTCGCAGCCCGAGGCCAGCTGGCCGCAGCTCAGCGCCGGGAAGGCCGCGCCGCCGCCGAACACCGCCGAGGCCGAGTAGAAATGCGAGGAGTCGGCRGCGAAATACCAGCTGTTGGCGAGGGATGAGGGCTGCGGGGCCAGGATGTCCGAGTGCCAGCCCTTGAGGCCCAGCCCTGCAGCGGACTTGGCCAGGTGCTGCTGGCTGGTGGAGAGGCCGAACACGAAGTTGGCTCTGTAGGCGTCCTCCACGCTGCCGCTGCGGTGCAGCGGGTACAGGAGCGGCCGCGGCGCGGGCCTGGGCGCGTGTGGCCGGGGGGCCGGGCTGTCCGATGGCCACGGGCCCACCGCCTCCTTGGGCGAGGCTTGCTCCTTGTCGGGGCTGCTCTCGGGGCTCTGCTCCGACACCTCCTGCACGGGGGAGAACTGGCACAGCTTGCCGCCCCCGTCCAGCGCGGCCGCGTGTTTGTAGTACTCCAGCGTGTCCTCGGAGGAGGCGAAGCCCTGCACCGAGGCGYTCACGCAGCTGCTGCTGGCCGAGTAGGACACGGATTTGATGTCCAAGGAGAAGGAGCGCTTCAGGCGGTTGCTGTCTTCCACCTTGTCCAGGGAGACGTGCAGGCCGTTGATGCCCTGCACCAGGGGCCCATCGTCCGTGGGGGTTGGGTGCCCGTGGGGCGCGGTGCCCCCGTCCGTGGCCTTGTGCTCCAGCAGCTCTGCAGCAGCTGAGAGGCACAGCTGGCTCGTGGAGAKGCTGCTCTGTCCCCCTTCCAGCACCGGTACCTGCTCGCTGCTCTTGTCCAAGTGCAGAAGTTTCAGCTTGCTGATGTGRCTGGGCTGGCTGCTCTGGTTCTTGATCTTTTTCTCAAAGTCCAAAAGCTGGCCCAGAAAGTTGAAGTTGGGAGAAATTGTTGGCCTCTTTTCTTTCACAAATCTGGTAAGAGGGGACAAACAAACCAAGAATTATTATAAAAACCAGTGCTCAGGTATAAGATAACCCTGAAGTGAGTGTTGTGAATGCCTACAGCCTGTTCTTAATTAAGAGTGAACTAAGGTTCAGTCATAAGTAAATTGGGGATGGTGTTAAAAAAGGCAGTTTAAAGTGAAACAATGCTGCATGCTCTCGATTGTCTCTAGCTTAAAGGTGGCTAACTTATATTACAGGCTGCAAAACAGAGTTGCCCAAATCCCTCCTCCTCCAGTTTTGATTTTGGTTGGGTTTTTTTTAAAGAAACAATCCTGAAACTGTGATTAACCATGTGACAAGAGAATTAACAAGGGAAGAAACCTTGAGGAGCTAAATCTAATACAAACACACATATAATGTGTCACTGGGAAAATTAAATACTGTTAAAAACAAAACCTCTCTGGGGAAGTGTMCAGAAGGTGAGTGTGCACTCATTAAAAGCAGTGTGGGAAGAATGGAAAGGGGTACTTGCGTATGTGTGTACATGCAAGCACATAAAAAATGTCAAACAAAAGTTGCATTTTTTTATACTATTTTTTTTTTTAATTTGCCAAAGGACAAACAAGCTGACACAATGCCCTGGACTATCAGGTTGCACAAGCTCTAGTGGAAACTTCCACCACGGAGTGTAACACTGTCAAATGGAGAAATCTTGTACACAGGCCTGAGGTTCAGGAATGGTGCTCCCACCYCAACACTCCAAACCCTGCACTGCTGCTCCACAACAGGATGGAGAGGAGAACTGGAGGCACAAAAGGCAAAGATCATGGGTTGAGATAAGATCAATTTAGAGAACAAACAGTAACAGCACAATAGGAATGACAGAGGGTACAGAAAGAGGTGAATGATTCACACCACGTGGAAACCCCACAGAACCTGACTGTGCCACCTTCCCCAGCCCCAGCAGTGACAGGAGGTGGCACAGAACAACCTTCAGGTCCTGGCCATGTCCCTCCTGGCTCCTGCAAAAACTAACCCCATCCTGGCCAGAATGGGCAGTTTACASTCCATGTATTTGCCTGCTTGGATCAAAGACCATTTTGCAGGTRGGCAATTAACATTTAGCTGTGTGATGTCAATTCAATACCATTGATTTGTTTCTGGAGGAAACCTGTGCTTAAAACAAGTGTGACCAGATAAAATGTCAGCTTCTACTCTTGGTCAGAGAACCTTTTATCATCCACCCTAAAACCAGGCCAACRGGCACAAGAGTCTGTAGGAAGGGAAGGTTTGTCCCTACCTGTAAGCTTCATCCAAGGACATATCCATTCTCTTCATGATGTATGCAATGGCAATCGTGGCGGAGCGGGATATCCCAGCTAAGCAGTGCACCAACACACGGCCATTGGATGCTTTTGCTTTTTCTGCATGGTAAAATAATTGAAAAGTGTCAAACCCAGCAGCATCATACCAGGATGGAAAATTTGCAAAGAAAGCAGGGTTATTGAAAATTGTTCAAAGCTTCCAAATGAACTGCTAATTGCAAATCTCATGGAAGCTTGAAACAAAACTCACTTATTTTCTCTAGCACTGTGCAGCATTGAGTATAGAAAAAGCATGGCTACACTCAGGAAATGTCCTGCAGTCCCAGCATAGCTCATTTTAATGTGCACATGAACAGCCCTTTTTAGATGGCTGGGAAAGGTGATTGTTTCTAATTTTACAGACAAGTCAAAAGCAAACATTCATGATGGAACAATCTGGCCAGTTCAGATCTGGCTAGTTCACTTCTCAGAGGTAAAGGCAGAAGGAGTGTGCCCAAATTTCTCATCCATTCTCTGCAAACACATATCAGGCATCTACAAGGCTAAAGCAGCTCTGAAGGGCCTTTGTTCTGTAATRGTGGAACACACAGTGGCAGAATCTCCCTGGTTTTTGTTCCTGTGCCTATGAAGTGATGCTGATGATGTCCACAGATCCTGAGGGATTTTCACACCACCCAAAAAACACTCGGGGCTCCTCCAGCCAAAACAGCAAGGCAGACACACAGARCAATCCAAGAACTGCTGGAGAGAGAGAATTCAAATTCTCTACTCACCTATAAAATCGACTGAATTATCCAACCAAGGCAAAATTTTCTCACAAAAGCTGTCATTCACAGGCACTCGGAGGAAATGGGATTCTGGAATAAAATCAGGCTTTGGACAGGTATTGCTGGCGTTCAGGACGTAGCCAATGTCATTCTGCTGCATCAGCTCCTAGGAAAGAGAGAAGATTAAGCCTAGAGAAGTCAAATGGTACCTTTGGCACATTGCAAAGCAAAAAACCCAACTGAAATTTGTGTTGGAATTGCTCTAACTGTGAAAGGGACATTCTTCTGGGAAAAAGACAACTCCTCAGCTTTGAATTCTTGTAACAACTTCAAATGAGACATCCAGTGTGTCCAAATAACATATGGACTGCAAATCCCATAAAAATAACGTTAATAAAAACAGAAGTCATGGTGGAATACCTTCTGCTGCTCTGAWGCATCACTTCCAAGAGAATGAACTTTCTGCTGCTTTGGTTTMAATTCTCACCACACAAGCTGACAACAAACACTTCCCACATGCRGTTTGCTGACCTGAATATGTATTTTCCAGACCACATATCTGGGACTGAAATTGCCCCATCACAGATATTAGTGAGAAATAGGAAATGAAATGGATGCCTCCTGCAGYCACCTCTCAAGGCCAGGAATTTCTTGTTTCTAAGGGAATGTGCAAAACTCTCACAAAACCTCAAGGAAAGAGCTGAAGATCTTGAATTAAACCATTTCCATACAGCACTGAGTGGCATTTTCCAGGAGTTCTGCTCTGTGATTTACAATTTGGTTGCTCAGTTTTCAGTCTCCAGGCCTCTTGCATCTCAGAGAAATGTCACAGGACTAAGCAAAGACACTAAACGTATATTTAAGAGTTGACTGGGCTTTTAAATAAGTCACTTTTCATGACTGCAAATAAAAGACTCTTTTCTGCATCTTGCCATACTTGTGGTATTCAGAGTTGTGCAAATTACTTGGTGATGCAGTGGGCACCTTGGTGCAAAAACACAAGGAGGAAGTTCTAGAAAAATAGAGATGGCTCTACCACAAACCATCCAGTCTCTTCCAAGTAAGCATCTGGACACAGAAAGCAATTTAACTTGTTAGAGGAATGCTTACCAAACTACCATGATTCAGAGAGGATCTGTAAGTGCTGTGTAATACCAGGCTTGGACACTGCTCACACTGAACATAAACATCGGGGAGCTTTTGGCCAGACTTCTATGGAAACTCTTACCTCAAACATCAAAAAAAAAAAAAAAAAGTACCCCAAAATTTGATTTTAATCCTTTTGCTTTCATAGCAGATATCTAATAAAGTTTGTCAGTCCACAGGAGCAATAGCATGGATGAATCCTTACATTGCAGATTTCAACTGGAGATTTACCAGTATGAAAATACAGTCCCAAAGCCAAATGGTTGTTCTTCCCTGTATCTTTAATGCAAGCACAGAGATCCTTTAGTGARGGATATTTATTTAGCAGGAGAGGCAGAACTCTGTCTTGTTCAACCAGAGCAGTGTGAACAGCCTGTGATGCTGAGCACAGATACCCCCAGGAATGGCCCAGTGCGTGTGCAGGGCATGAACACACATGGGATRGCCATGCATGAATTAATGCTGAGGGGGAACAAAGGGCTGCAGGGGAGAAGGGAATCCACATCAGTCACTGGCACAGGAAACTGCATCAAATCCAGTCACTAGAGGTTGGAACAGGGAATTCATGTGAATTTTTGCTAGAGAGCTGGTTTTTGTTGCCTGGAGCAAAATAGGCAGCTCCTCCAGCCTTTGATCCAGAGTGCCTCCCATAAGGACACTCAGAGGATGGAGGTGTGGGCACCTTAAACAGGACATGAATTATGTCATAAACAAACCCCTCCCAGGGGAACAGGAGATGGACAATTCCTTGCAAAGAAAAATCATCAGAAATGTTACTTGCAGCAATGGTCAAAAGAGAAAAAATAAACCAAGAAAAAGGGCTGTCATAGTAAGTTAATGCTTCTTGCCCTGCTAATTTCCTGGGTCCCACTCCCAGGAGAGCTCAGCTCCTCATCCACAAATCCCAGATGTCCCTGTTTGCCCCTGTCCCCCTCCAGTCCTGAGTGCCTCCATACTGCTGCCGTCAGTGTCCTTGCCTGGATTCCCCTCCCACACACTGACATCCTGGAAAGCAGGAGTGCTCCCAGGAAATCCTGGGAATTATCCAGAGGGAAAAGGTACTGGGAATGGGGTTTGTGGGATCTTACGTGTGCCAGGGGCCCCCCAATCCCCAACATCCCTTCCTCGCTATCCTGGGCTGCACAGCTCCTCCCTTCCAGCATCCCAAAGCTCCACAGCAGCCACTCCTGGGAAACAATTGCTGCCCTGAGGTCACTGAGCTGAGTAACTGTCCCCAGAGCAGCTCAGCCCCTGAAGGTGAGTGAGGAGCAGCTGCAATATCTGGGATTGAAGCACACGCACGTCCTGAATTCCCAGGTACAGAGAGGGAGGTGGTGGAGGCCTCGCTGACAAAAGGAATGCCACGTGCAGGGGTRTGAAGAGTTTAGCTAGGGGGGTGTGATGGATTTAGAATAGAAAACTCGATTATTTCCTTTAAAACAAACACTGGTGGGCTGCACAGTCCAGCCATCACCACTGCACTGTCATGCCAGGGTTTTGATGTGAGATTGATTATTCAAATGGAAAAAGGAGGCTGCAGCCGCCAAGTCCGAAATCTAAAAGCCAAAAAACCACCCCAAAATATTAGTGCTTGTCCTTCAGACTGAGGCTAAAGAAAGAGGTTATGCTTCCTTGTGAAGAATCAATCATTCCCACTGTGACATGCTGCAGTGYAATAACCATAACAGTGCCTGCATTGTGAGGCGCCCAAGAGGAAGAAGTGAATTACGATGGGAGGAAGATCCAGAAATCCTAATACTAACAACTCTGTGAAAAGAAGGTAAATGCTCTTTTGTAAGCTTATTTACATTTTATGACTTGTTTAATCTGAAAATTAATAGAGCCCTAAAATGTTATTTTGTTCCAGGAAATAAAATCCAGGTCYGGAAGAAAAGAAAGAGAATAGTTATGCAAGTGGGAAGGCAGAAAGTTTTACATTTGAAATGCTGGTACAAACCATGAGATGTAAGTAGGAGGCTCATTCAGGCCCATAACAACAACACAGATTGTTGTGTGTCACACTAACATTCACAAAGGACACTGTCACTCCTGGGGAGGTTAGAATYCAGTTTTCCTTCTGTAAAAGTAAATACTGCCTTGCAAAGCCACCAATCTGTCACAGGAAAATAACCATAATGTATCACACTGAGACCCCAAACAAGCAAACTTTTCTTTTAGAACTCTTAGGAGCTTTTTAGCATTTTAGCACTGCAAAAAAACATGAATGTTTGCAGAATTAAGCATTTCAAAAGAAATCTGAAAAAAAATCTTAAAATTCTCCTAAGACTTTCCTGAATGAATCATTRGTTTTGCTGAAGGGCACAAACCAAGTGTTTGTGGCTGATACCTTTCCTAAATAAAGCATTATATGCAGAGGTATTCATGCTCTCTGAGGCATCTGATAGTCCTGCATCCTCTAAGTGCCACATGTGATGACTTTGCTGAGTGATTTAAGTATATAAACATTTTCTGGGCTATTCTTCAGAAATCATTAAATACACATGTACTTAGGAAAAAGTTCCTCAATGTAGTGCTACCATAAAAGCTCATTTTAAACAATACCTCTGGTTGTCCAGGTCTGAACACCTCAGTAAGTGCACAGAGATTTGTTTGCAGTAGTCCCTTATTATACAATTCATGGTGTTTAAATGCTATTTTTTCCTAGCACTTGAAGGAAATACTAAAAGCAGACAATCTTTGTCCTACTGTAAGCATGAATGTAATTGTGACAGCCTCCAAGGCCTGCGACAGGAATGGCAGATGGGATGGTTTGCTGTTGGGTGACAGGTTCTTGAGGAATATACTGTATCATCCTCCCCAGGATTGAGGAGAAGGAAGGAGAAAAATTTCATTTTACATGATCCACAGATGAATTATGTGGTGCGTGGATCCCTGGTTCTCCCATAGCTTTCCATGGCTTGTGAGGGCAGCTTTACCTGCTGTTCCACAGCTCTAACACTGCACCATGAGTGACAGATCCCTGGAGATCAAAAACTCACTGCAGGGACCCCCAGAGCACCCAGAACACTCACCTTGTTGAGGACATCTCGCTGACAGCCCAGGTAGAGATGAGGCAGGATTCTGGTTGGGCCAGTGTTGGACACAGGTAGGCAGGGTTGAGAAATGCAAGTAGGGATGAGCGTGGATTTTCCTTCACAGAGACCAGGGAAAGAGCTGGAGAACTCAGCAAAGCCACCTGGGAGAGGAAGAGCAGGTATTTAATTTACAAATGTGGGGGTGTCAGTTCTTGCAGAGCACCATTTGGTGTGGGAGAGGGGRAGGCACTGAGGGGAACCTGAGCAGAGAAACCTCATGTGCCTTTCCCTGAGGTCAGTGCTGGAGGTCTCCAGACAAAATGGGAAAYACAGTAATAATCCTTGGCTTTTCACTCCTTAGAATATGTGAAGAAATACAAATCTGTCTGTGGAACCATCCATCAGCAGCCAAGGYCTGGCTGTGTATTCCCACTCTGCCTGGAACATTTATTTCTCTCCCTCCCCTTCTCAGTTTTTGATGTTTCTTTCCATTCTCAGTATGTGGAAATGATTGTTCAGAAAAACAGGCACAGCAGCCACCACACCAAGAGCAGACACTTTTGTCTCAAGATGCTTTCTAGACACTTCCTTCTCCCACACCAGGTTTACACTGAGATCTCATAAAGAAAAAATCGTATTTATTCAACTTGGTAAAAGCATTGTAATACCTTTAGTAATGCTTGCTTTTAAAATCCTACATTGCTAATTAAAATCCTACATTGCTAATTAAAATCCTACATTACTATTTGTGTGCTGCTCCACAATGAATGTCTTTCATCCAGGACACTGGAAGGAGTTTTATCTTTCAAAACCACACCAAGCCAAGGCTTCTCCACCTCAAGGGGGGAAGGCAAAGCAGAGGGGAGGTTTGCAAACCACAGCAAAAATCCCCAGCTATTTCCTCCAAAGGAGCAGAGTTTTAACTGAAGGAAGAGTAATTATAACCTATTCAGAATGAAGCACCTTTTTATCATCAAGGAATTGAAGCACTGGTGTGCTRAATCTGCCAAATGCTACGTTCACTATGATTACAGTTTGAAGATGGGGATTAAAATTATTYAGGAATAAGATAATGTACTGGTTTGCCAGGGCTTGCATTACTATTGCCTGAATTATGCTTGTTCTTTGGATTTTAAAATCTGTATCATTAGTAAACGTAGAAGCACCAAGGCAGTAGGGTGTAACAACCCATTTTATCTAATAAAAAAACCAATGAGCAGATTCCAGAGCAAATGCTTTATGAACAGCAGTTTCTGCTCAGTCTCCTGAATAAATGAATGAATAAATAAATAAATAAATAACTTGTCTCTTTTGTTAGACAAACTRAGGCACTGCCCATCAGGAGCACTGATCCTGCTGGGATCTCATTCCATTGAATGAGAGRAAGAGTTTRCAAAACAATTCTCTCACATCCTTGYTAAATGTTCTTTYRCATGGCCTAATGTTTTCCTCTCTGTTAGAAGAAGCATTCCTTGAATTGACAGRCAGTATCTATCTCTGATATTGAATTTAAGCAGTTATTTGAAGGGTGGTGAAGTAGAGGAAACCAAATATTGGCCATTTGCTTATTCTTTACTTCTTGGGAGCATTTTTGGCTGCTCTCTGGATCCTCTCACCAAACATGGATGGAAAGAGAAGTCCTTACAAAGAAGCTGCACAAGCAAGGATTTCACATCTGTGCTTTCTTTGCAAAAGAACAAAAAAGGTTTCTTCCAACTACCTGTGGATTGGCCTCATATGTGTTGTGAAACCTGTGACAAGAAATTCAGCAAGAAGCCAAAGTGCAGAACACCTGAAATTTTGGGAGCTGGAACCCATGCTCTGTCATCATAAGGAGCAATCTTTTGTTTTATTTTTATGCCAGGACTCTGTCAAGGCCAACTGAGATGATTCAAGATTAGATACTTCAACACCTTGTCYAGGGCAGTCATCCTTACAAAGTCACTTTTCTTCTTTTCTGCTCATGCTTTCCTAGTAGCACATTGCTTCAGTTCCCTTCCACTGTGAATTACAATCAGAAAAATCTCAAATCTCTAAATCTGGCATTATATTACCCACCCTCCCATGTGCACCCAAGTGAAACCTCCTTTCCTTTTTATCTTAACCTGGTGTTACTATCTGTACTGAACTGATCTGAGAAATATTATAAATATCTTTCAAATATTAAGCTGTCTTCCCCACCATCTTCTGACCAGGTTTTCAAAAGGTTAGKAGCTGTTCAAATGAATCTGCCTTTGATTTATGGCACTTCCCAATACAAAAAGCCTGTTCTAGGTCAGTGTGTGTGGAAAATTGCTTTAAAAACCCACAAGCAAGCAAACCCCATACCAACAAAACAAACTCACACATGCATCCTGCTTCAGCACCAATTTCTTTAAATGCAACAAACTATCAGGGGTCTGGAACAACAGCATCCATGAATATGATCACTGAGCTGTCCTGGCATTGTGAGACTCATTTCTGTTCAAAAGAACTGCAATCATCACTATTTGCTTACACTAACTTACAAAATAAATCTATAMATCTATTTTATAACTATATAGGGAAATGCATGGGGAAAAAACCCTCAGCACTTGAAGATAAAAGGTATCTGTGTGGATAAAAGGTATTTTTATCCACAGAACTCCATGGCCAGTCCACATGAGGAGCCTCTTACCAGAAAGTGTTTTAAGCACTCAGACCACCTGAACACTGCTGCTGTAAATGAAGCAGWCTTTGAAAAATAAACCTTAAATGCTTGGAAAATTAATTTACTCTACAGGTAGGGAAGCGGAACAGAAAATTGAGCCTTAAAAGAAAAATGGGAGAGGTTTTGTTTCAAATTCCATAATGTGGGGATGACCTTTGCCAGAAAGCAATTTTTTTCTTTACATCTCCTGACCTACMTCAGTTGGATCAGGGCCATTGGCAGCACTGTGCAGTTTGCTTTAATTAGAGAAAATACACTTTTCTGCTGCAGTTTCTAAATAACACTTCTCCCACCACTGCTCCAGCCTCAGGTGACTCATAAATTCATTGCAAGAGCATATTGAAACTATGGGGCAGGGGGGGAGAAATCTACAGATCATTAACAGAGCTACTGTTTAATAGAGTTTCACTGAATTCTTTGATAAATGCCATTGGGCTTGGAAATAGATGACTGACAAATAACTCCAAAATCTTCTCTCCTCACTAGAACCACACAGGTTGCTGCACTCTTGGTGGAAAGCTGAGCTGAACAGCTCTCTTGGCATTCAGCAGGATTTTGTCTCTACAAAACCACGGCAGGTGCCAAAAGCTGTCAGAGGTTCTGGTGTGTGGCAGGGAACCCAACACCTCCCCGTCCTCACAGCCAAGTGTTTCCTGCTCACAAGGCTCCACATCCATCAGCAGAGATCTGGCCAGAGCCACTAAACCCCTTGATTGCCCCGTTGCTATGGCTCTGAAAGTGGKGATTGCAGACCTCCCTTTGATCGAGGCTTCCCTAACCACTTATGGCATCAAAAAGGGACAATCTCCAAGGGAATCTTGGGGTCACAAGTGTCAGCTCCCTTCTCAGGCAACTCAGGGAKCAAAACAGGCCCAAACCCAGAAAGGATGAAAAAGGTTTCAGCAAAATTCCACAGTAAAAGTTTTTCTTCCTTACATATTCACTGCTTAAGTCCTATATAAACAGAACTCCCAATGAACTTTGCTAGAAATGGGAAGTGGCAGGGAAAAAATATGGGATCAGGTGGCAACAAATGACAGAGAAATATTATTGATTTGGGAAGAGCTTCCTTCCACTGAGGGAATGGAATCCATCCAAACCCTTCTGATTACCCAGTTTAACTACCACTAAACACAAATCATGAATTAATCCAGAGGAATGACTCCTGAGAAGCACAAGCACTTGCAGCAGCTCATGTTTGAGTGTTCAGGGGGAACAGAGCTGTAAATGAAGCATTCCAGTGCTGCCAGGGGCCCTGCTACACTCAGGGACAGCTCTGCCAACCACTGTGCAGCTTTGCAAATTAAAGCTCAGTTAAGCCCAAAGGTCTTGATTTGAACACTCAGGACAAAGTTGTGAAGTGCAGATCRTCTTTCATTTGTTTTATGCAATATTTAATAAAACCCTTCCAGTTAAATCACACCGTAACAGGACAGGTGATGTTTCTTATGTTCATTCCATGTTACACTGGTTTCTCTTCTTCCTCCTTGTCTTTATATTCCCTTCAATGGGATGTCAAACTATTCAGAGATGGGACCAAAACTAGACAAGACAAATCTGCAGGGAACACGCTAATTACTGATTAGCCCCAGGGAAGAGCAAAAAGCTTAAGCAGAAACACCAGTTACTCAAAAATCAGTTTCCAAAATACGAGCATCATTCTTCACTGACATCACAGAGCATGGAYGCTCCCTCATCCATCCATCCTGTGTCTCAACTTACACATATTGGTAACACAGAGAAAAAACAAACCAGGAGGCAATTCTGATATTTCTATGTAGCTGCTCATAAAATTCCTGTTGTAACAGCCAATCCAGTAATTCCTTTCAAGTGTCTGCAAAGATGCAGACAGGTGCACGAGAATTTTATCMGTTTTAAAGGAAATAAAGATTTWAAAAAAAAAAAAGCAGGAAAATTTGCAACTACCTCTTAAAGATAATATTTAGGCCCTGTAATKCTCAGTAAGCCTCACCAAAGGCCTGCATTCAAAGATATGCAGTGGAGTAATCCATGTTTAACTTCTGGGGTTTTTTTCCCTCTTCTCCTACATCGCAATTTAGAATTTGTTACTGTAAACATTGATTAGTGCCAGGCCAGTAAGGCAACAATTACCGAAAACTAAAAAAAAAATAAATCAAACAGTACTACAGCAAAGACAAAATATACAAAGGCCAAAGTTGTGCGTTTGCTTTGCTCAGAGGCTCCTGGAGCTGTGGCTGAGCAGCCCTTTCCCAGTCCCACTCCCGTTGAACATTAAGGTGTTTATCTAAAGGCTGCAGTATAGATTCTTCCCTTGCCATAAGAAAGGAAAGTTGTAAACTTTCTGACTCAGGAGTTTTATGAATCTGCAATGTTTCCACTCTGTCTAAARGAGCTGTGGAGCTCCACAGGCCGTTAGGACTGGCGCATTCCAGCTCTGCTCCGCAGGGACCCGTGCCATTTTCCATTACATAAGCTCAGGCTGCAGAGCTGTCAGAGARCTCCCATCCCATTCCTGTCCTCCCTCTCAGCCACAGGGAGCCTTTCCACRGGATCCAAGGTCTCCCAGGTTGGGAAAGCCAGGGGTGTTTTTATTCYGGCGGCGTTCGGAAGGCGGCCCCGYTATTCCAGGTGTTTTACAAGCACGGTAGCAAGGGAAGTTCTTTGCCCTGGAGGGTTTCTGCCTTTGGTAAGACAAGGTTAATAGGCAGGTTAAACAAACAAGGAAAGGGAGATGTGTGAGAATGGGGKCAGTGGGTTCCCATCCCACCCAAGTGCCATATTCCAAGGGCCACGTAAGTACAAAGAGCAGGGTGGACACCCACACTCGCCCTCTCTGGCTTTAAGGAAAAAAAACAAACCAGAAAACCTTCACCCTAATTTCAGTCAATTAAATTTCACAAGTATCCAGAGGTATCCAAAACAAAAGCAAACTTAACAAGTTATTCTTGGGTTGGAGAAATGTTATGTGAGCTCTAYTCTAGTCAAACCTTGCTCTCTCACAAAAGACAGCAAATGGATACACATATGAAAGTAATAAACCCTAYTCCCATTCTTCACGTGCTTAAAACAATCATGGCACTAAATGTACACTGAAAATTGCATTTTAACTGCAGAGAGTGGGAGGATATTCACAGAGGACTGGCTGTAGCCAAGGGTACTTGGCTTTTCTAAGCTTTCTTAAAAACGGATGGAGAGGGGGATTTTGAAGGGGGTGATTCAGAGCTGAGCTCCTCTCTCACTCCCATCTCCTCCCCAACCTGGCTGAACTCCATGGGTGATGGGACCWCTTGGGGAATTCTGCATTCCCTCAGCAAGATCTTTACCTCTCCCAATAGAGACTTCCTTCTAATGGAATCAACCAGTGGGAGTGTGAGGAAAAATGGCATTGTGGAGCAACAACCCCTCCTCCTCCAAACACTGGCAGAACATTCCACAGTTCTCATTGCACTCATTTCAATTYGTGGGTAACCTGCTTATTTTAACTGATGAACACCATTTCAAGGGGTACTCGGGGTACTYTGCAATAGGAAACACTCAGAACTTCAGGCAGCCACAAGTGAAAGTTGGGAAGCTCCAAATCCAAATGTTAAAAGGGGTCAGGATGTTTGCCAGGACTTTTTTCAAACCTTGTGCCTTCTTTCAGTCCACACTGAACCACATGGCACCCCCTTGCCCGACACATGAGACTGCACTGGAATAAAGCCCTTCTTACAACCCTGCTCACTCCAGCCCATGGAAATGAGCAGCTCTACCCATGAGAGAACATTCTCCAGATTTCCTGCTCCTCTGCCACAATAAATGTTTTTTCTGGTGATAAAGCAGGGACAAAGCACTGGACTTTCTTATCCAGCTTTGCTTTAGGCAGGTAAGACCACACAGTGGTGAATTACCCCTGATACTGGGGGTATACTGGTATTTTTAAACTGGTAAACYGGTATTTTTAAACTAGAGTTCTTTAAATGGGTTTCCAATTCCCAACATTTSTAAAATGAATGGCGGGATAAGGAAGGCTGAAGGAGAGTTCCTGACTTGCCTCCTTTTCCTTGGATCTTCCATTTAACACACACACTTTGTTGGGCAAGGGACAGGTCAGGGTRAAACAAGGAATTGGGAAGTTTCAGCAAAAACATCCCTTTTGCCACAGTGCTGGATTATCACTCACTGCTTTGTTTGCAGGACCTTTGGTCAGTCTCACTGAACTCATTCTGTTTGCTGTTCCTTTACACACTCATTCTGCCTCGGATGTTGTTCACTGTCAACTGCATACATCCCTACCATTTGTCACTGAAGAGAAAAGCAAKAATTCATTTATTTCTCCTTATTACGGTGGCTTTGTGCTCTGCAGGAGTTTATCAGAGAGCTCTTGTGGAGGGAGAATCCACTACAGCACATTAGTGCTGATACTTTTTATAGGCAGAAGAGCAGCAAGAGATTAGCAGGCAACTCCCCACCAACCCCTGTCTGAGAGGGAKGCACTGAGTGCTTCAGTGTTGGGTTATCACAATTTTTAATGACACTTTCTATATAGTTTGGAGATTTTTTCTGGTTTTCTTTTTTTGGTTTTTTTCAGAAAGCGTTCTGTTTAGATTGTTTTCTACAAAAAAAAGGTTCAATAAAATCAACACTAAATGACAAGCTGTGCTTCACCTTCACAGGAAACACTTGAAAGGTAACCATCATGAATATTTGAAAGGTAACCATTCATTTGTGGTTGCACGAATAGAACTAAGCAAGATTAAAAGTAGGGAAGAAAAAGTATTTAAGGAAAGTAGAATATAAATTATTTCCATTGACACAGTGGAATAGAATTTAATCAAGCCTCTTGATGGTCACTGCCTTGATAATTAGCATTTAAGCAAAAATCAAAGAATAAAAACGCTATTAACTAGGAAAAGGGACTCCATGCAAGTCAATCCAATTCCCAGCATATGGGAAGGAATYAAGTGGCATCCCTGTGTTTAAATCTTACTTAACTCAGAGGARCAGATGCCATGATGGGAATAGAATTAAGCCCTCAGTGCCCATATTTCAATATTTTGTGCACTGTTAAAAATCAAGAACCAAAACGAGTATTTAAATTCCTGAAAACATTCCTCACCAGATTATGAATATTTTTATGAGGTTATATCAAGAGCTTAAACTAATCAGTGAAGGTTCCTTTGAGGTCTTTACAATRGTTACTTCAATGAGAAACAACCTCCAGGGCAGAGCACACCTTTATGCACAATCTAAATAAAAAAACCACCTCCCCAAGTGCTCAGTAATGGGGGGTTTCAAGAAGAACAGAGGCAGGAATTTCAGACATCTGTTAATTGCTCCTTATTCTGTCCTAACAAAAAATATTTTCCTACCCCAAAATGTTTATTTAAGGTCACTACTGTAAATAAACCAGATTTAGTGGCATAGGGAGAACTCAAGTCCAAAGGTTTTTCTTTTTACACGGGGCACTGACCCCTGCCCTCATTATGGGCCATAAACATTTATGAGAGTTCGTCATCAGCTTGCTGAGACAACATATTTTATCTAATTTTGCAGAGCCCATATCAATAAACTCCAAGGAGCTTTCCACAAGCYTGAGTCTACCCAATCCTCCTCCTCCTTCATCCCACATCCCAAAAGGTTTCTTGTGTGTGCATTAAGCAGCCAGATTTTTAATAGAAGCAGAAATAAATGCATGAAATAAGCACTTGCCTTTAATAGATCAGTAGTAAATTATTTCCTCCTATTTCCCTCTTGTTCTTATACTCCTCTGCTGCTGTTTTAAAGCCATCAGTTGTTTCTGCATCCATAAATATCCCCATCCTGGYTATATAAACAAATGTAAGAGGAAATTCTCAAACCTGACCTTTGCTAAGATAAATCGATTTGAAACACTAAAATAAAAATCCTGCTTTTCATAAGGAAGATTTTGACCCATTAGGTCCCCAAATTAACCCTTACCAGCTGTGCATGGCTCAGTTCACCTCAGCTCAGTGTGATTTAAGTGCCATTTCCATCTTGGACAGACAACCACCACACACTGGGAATGAMAACAAAGCAAAGCCATTTCTCCCAGTATCTTCTTCTGAAGAGATATGAACTGCTTCTAGACCAGCTTATTTTTCAAATAACAATTTTCAGTTAAAGAGACTATTTACCACTTATTCCAGCAGTCTTGCATGAAGCATTTACTGTGCCTGGACACCACACAATTACTTGGTGGCTCTGTGTAAGAAGAGTTATTTAATCTAMTACTGCAGTCCACCACCCACAGGGSCAATTCTTACCCAGACAGCAAAGAAAACAAATCACCAACCCTGCCCAAGCAAAAGTAAAGCTCACATGAGCACCAAACACAYGTGTCCAAGTGCAGAAATTATTCACTTTCTCTGTAATCACTTTGTAAACAAGTTGAGAGAAGTTCTCTCACCTCCCTCTCACTTTCATCATCACTACAAACTGCAGTGAAAACCTGTGCCTAAGAGGAAGAATCACTGGAGTTATTTCCCTTTTGCCATCATTACTCAGTCCCTGCCTGTGTTTCAGCATTTCTCAGAATCCAGGTGTACACTTCATGAGGTCACTGATCAGTCACTGCAATGCATTTCCCACTTGTATCCATCACTCCCTCTTCTTTCAGCCTTGCATCGACTCTGTGCCCTTCCTTGCTCCTTCTTGTGAACACTGTCTGCCATTCCCTGACAGAAATAATGCACAAGCACACACTGAGACCAGCAAATCCTGTATTATAAGGAATTTGACTGGGATTTAAAATTTTTAAAAAAGCAAAACCAAACCAAAACAAAACAAAAAAAAACCTAAAAAGAAACCCAAATTAAAAAAAACCCAAAAAACCCCCCAAAAAAAAGAAAAAAAAACCCAAAAAAAAAGGAGGGTGAAGGAAAAGCCCTAAATGAAGTGCTACCACTTAAAGAGCTGAAGTTTGTAAGTCACACAAACTAATCTCCATAACTGTGGGAGATCATTTCCTTTGCTCTTATTTTAATAATTACCAATTCAGTAAGGAAGAGATTTTCTTCTTCACATGTACAACGCTGGAAAAAAYAGGGAAGCCCATTTCTTTTCCTGTTTTTTGACCCTAAAGTAGAAGCCATACACATCTAAAAACCTCTTCATTGATCCATTTCCATTTACACAGACGAATGGTGTGATATATCCTCTGCAAGATGCAATTTCTAAGCACTGCATGTATTATCAGAGTCATTATATGSAAAAAGAGCTACAGAAAAGCCTGTGCTGTAACTGAAGCTTATAGCAGCACCTGTAAAATTCTACAGGGCAGCTGTACCAATGGCATTTCCTTTCTGCTCTTTATTCCAGTGTTTCAGAGGTTTTGTTTGGTACATCTTACCTGAAAGCAGGTACACAGAGCTGAAATTCTTCTCCAGTTTGCCCAGGAGCACAGTAAGAAAGCAGTCAGATGCCAGAGAGGTCACATCTTTAGAGCTTTGGTCATACACCACCACTTCCTGCTTGCAATCGATTTCAATCTGAAACACAAGGAGCTCAAGAGTGAAGCAGGAAGGAGGAAGATGATTAAAAGCACCACATTATCACCTCCATCAGGTTCCCACATATCTGCTGGAACAGCAGTTCAGATAGACACTTTTCTTACACACCTGTTCACTAAACAGTTTTCATTTTATTTTTCATCCCCCTCGCAGATTTAATTCCCTTGAGAGTTTCTAAATTGATTATCTGCTGCAAGGTGAAGCCCACTTCCCAAATTTCTGTCATTAGRTAATTTTATGTCACTTGTGAAACCCTCTACCTTCAGCTAGGCTGGTGGATTTGTTTACAACCTGAGCTTTTCAGAAGGTGGCTCTGCCTCATTTTCTAATTCTGAGGATTCCTGCACATAAATGAGACCTTAAACTGCCTCTAAGCCACACATTACCTGGTTTTGGTTACCTGCACAACTTATATATAAAATACATTTTAGATGATAAAAATTAAAAGTTTCCCTTTTAACATGTTGAAACAAGAATGTAAYAGATTATTTTTGTACCCAAAACAYGTGAAACAAATACCAATGGATAAAAAACCCACCAACACCCCCTTCCATGCACACACACAGATAAACATTAACTTTTAACAGCATAGCTATTTTCACTGATAACACTATTTGGAAAAAAACAAACTCCTCCCTCCAAATAAACAAACAACAAAACAAACACCAAAATCTGTCAAATTGCTCCCACGAAAAGCCATTTAAACAGCAAGTAGGAGGCAGGATTGACAGAGACACAGTTTCTTTGCAAACCAAATGACCACTTGCTAAGCAAGCCCCACCACCACAGACCCCAAAGAATCCTTCAACATTGAGGAGAGAATGTTTCTTGCCTTAGTTACCGACATTTGACAGACTGCTTTGCAAGACACACAAGAACACTGAGGAATTTCAAAATCCTCCCCTTTACTCTGTCACTGCTCCAACAGAGAATCCCAGTGATAAACTCAATCGYAACCAATACCCTCTTTGATCAGGGAACATCTCAGCTAAACTCARTTCTCTCATCTTGTTGGGTTTTGGTTGGTTGTTTTTTAATGAAATACCAAAGGAAAAATTATCAAAACTTGCTTTCCAGCCAGTCCTTTAAACAARTCCAAGGAATACGAGGGAACCCCCTACCTTGTGTTTTGCCGAATGCTGAATGAGCTCTGTAATCAGAACCTTGTCCTGCTGCAGCCTGCGCTTCATGAGCTTGGAGCAGTTGATGTTGATGGCATCCAGGATGTGGGACGTGTTGTACTCCACAAAGGGGCGGCTGTCGATCAGCAGCAGCTTCTCGGCGCCGCTCTCCAGCAGAGCCACCAACTTCTCGGCCACAATGAGTCGAGTCCCGATCATCTCATCGGCCATGACAACAACGAGGCCTCTCTCCCCACCTCCCGCTCTAATTTGCTGCGATGATGTAATGGCTGTGTACTCAAAGGCTTAGCCACACCATTGTGCTACAAGTGTATGAGGTCATGCTGGTAGTGACTGGCAAAAGAAAAGTTAAATCCATTTTCAGAAAGAGCTCTCGGACTGAATGTCTCCTCCTGCTCGCAGTTGATGCACAAAGGGTTGGCTCCACAAAGCAGCCCCTCACGTCTGATTCATGGGGAGATGGTTATGGAGTGGCCATCGCACAATCCACACAAAAGATGCTTTCTGGCGGCTGCTGCATTACATCACTCGATACCTTTGCTCCCACCCATCGGCTTCACACCACATTAAGAGCCTGCGAGAGGGGAAGATGAAAAAAGCAAAAAACACAAACCAGATGAGGCCGTGAAACTTTGCAGAACAAAACGCTGAGCTCTGAGGCTTAGCTGTACAGTGGCCGTGCCATACAATAAACACATTCCTGAGGAGTTCTCCTCTCATGGATGTGCCAAACACCTAGCGAGAGCATTGGCAGCTACAGCCTCTGAATCTATTCCAACCCTCTTGCCTGGACAATTATCTTGTATTTCAGGCAACATACCCTGCCTTAATTGCAGACTTTTGTTGCCACTAGCTCTGCCTCTTCACAAGACTTTGTCAGAACATAATTAAGAGATACTGCCCTAAATCAGGGTATTCCTTTCAATAGCAAAACTATTTAAATAGTGCATTCAAATCAACTATTTGAAAGTGCATTTCAGCACTTCACCACTTAGTAAGAAGTTGTAAAATTAGTTTTTTAAACATTTTAAACGTCAAACATTTTTAAAGTTTAATGCCTCGGAAAATACTTCACAAACCAGCACTGCAAGTTGGGGGACTGAAACTACAAATGAAAGGACCAAATTTACATCCATCTCTCTGAAGAGCAGGCTTGAATCGAAACCAGGACACGATGCCACATCAGGACACAARCATTTTATTTGAATTAATGACCGGAGATGGATGAGGTGTCACACTGCTGCAAGGTGAAGCAGTGAGCACCCTTCAGTTCTTCCTGGAGCCAGTGTGATGCATGTGAGGTGTGTAACACTCAGCACTCATTCTAAATAATCTCTGAAACCAACTCAACTTCTCTAGAATTAGATCCTGACAGCATCTGAACACCATCAGCTGCAACAACCGAGCAGTAAAAGCACCTGACACGTGTGACCCCCATTTTGTACCATTGCCTTAGGGTCCTAGAAACTCCCAAAACCCATTCTGATGGTACAAGTCCTTGTAGGAACGCTCCTCAGAAAGGAACCACCACAGGGCTGCATCCTTCAGGGGCTTAGCTCACATTTTAGCTGACATTTTCCAGCATTGCTGCTTCCATTTGAAACATTGGTTATTTATCTTAATCACAAAAAAAAGTAATTAATTCAAACTACAGATAAGTTATTATGAGTCCTGTTTTACAACAGGTCAGTTGAATTTGGCAATGGGAAATCCCAGGTCAGAAGATATTTACCATTTAGATATATTGTACAAATCTACATTTACAAAATCTTAAGCAAATTAAATTTGGCAAAAAGTACAGAATTCACCTTAACAACCCAAAGGGTGAAACTGGAAATTGTTCAGTGGCAATACAAGAAAAACACCAGTTTCCACGTAGACAGACATTAGGTTGACAAAATGGGATTTTCCATTTGTCCTGACTTTGGTGCTGTTGTGACAATGCTATTAAGCTTGCCCAGCCACTGCTATGGGAACACATAGCAGTGAAATTCAAATTGCTCTAAACTACCCAAAAATATTGGAAAATASACCATACCAAGTCTTAATTAAATGTTTTAAAGAACCTGGTTGGGAGGTGTGCTCCCCCTCAAGGAGCAGTCATTACACTCTGGTCTCAGGAAGGAATCAAAAAACTTTTGATTATTAAAATGCCATTTTGCAAGGAAGGGGAAAGGAACTGGATAGTTAAGTAATATTTTTTCCCCCCAAGAAAACAGTATTGTACCATTTTAAAGTTTCTCTTAACATGTCCTGTCACAAAATTTTTCTTTTATTCACATCAAAGGTTGGCAGATACCAAATCCAGTGAAGTCAATGAAAACTTTTCCACTGGCTCTAGTGGGAATTGGCTCCAGCTCTTCTGTAAGCTAGACAGTTTGTTCGTGAACTAGACAGTTTGTTTTGATGAATAAATTGCTGACTTAAAGTCCAAGTAATAACAGGAAAATAAAGCAGCTGAGAAAGTACAGAACTCTAAAACGGATGCTGTTAAAAATACTTCATCTTTAATTTGCAGCTTTCAGTTTGGGTACGCTTCTTATCTTCTAAATGCTTTCTGTTTGCTGTCTCAGCTTTTCACAGAACAGAAGTTTGTTTCAGAAGACCCTTGAGAAGAACTCAAACCAGTCATATCTGGTGATAGGGTAAAGAGCATGTAAAGAACATAAAGCAAGTGGCTTGAGCCAAGAATCCTTTTAAATAACCCCATTACCTTAACGGACAAAGTACCTTGAAAGCTTCTGCCCATGGCCTGAAAGCAATAAACTTAACAGTCATGACACCTTGAGCTATTGCAATTGAAATCCTATTTTGACAGGAACCTCTCCTTGGGTAGGAGAGGGACAACACTGTTTTGAGGTACAGGTTTTTCTTTTAATTGTCTCTGTTTCTGGAACTATCAGAGTTTGGGACCTATCTAAGAGAAGCTGGCAACCTCCTGCTTTAGGTAAACACTTAAGCTCTCCTCCCCTTCCTCATGACTGCTCTTATCACTCAGATGCTATGAGGTGTTGAAACATCTGTTTAATTTCTAATGCATTTCTAAAACCATAAAATTCAATTTCTTAACTGTTCTCTTCCTTCTTGTGACTTAGATCTCGGTGGTGTAAGAATGSCTCATAAAATGATACACTATAATGCATTGCCTCACACCGATCATTATGTTGCTGATTTCAAAGCCAGGAAGCCATCCTAGTCACAAGGTATTCCATGCTAAAATCAGGATTATCAAAAGTGAGCCATAATTGAGCCATGAGAATCCCCCACAAACTCCTTCACGACCACACCGGTAACACTGCATGGCTGCTTCCTCCTTCTAGAGGAACCTCAACACTGGTACTTTTAAACAAGAAAATTAAATATTTAGCTTGCTAATAAACTAAAAAGATCTGTTCCACAGTACCTTTACAGCTTTCCCTTATTGTTAGAAGAACCAAACCAACAAAACCCCGACTACCTTGCACACAAACAGCAGYGGATTTCTAATGTGTATGTTCAGAACTACAGAACTACAGGAGCTCTCCTGCCTCAGGGATTTCTGCCCCCATCCCAWATGGCTYAGATGCAGTGAAGTMAGCAARTGCCAYRTTTGCASTTAGGTGGTTGSTTTTGGTYTTTCAGTCACAATAACTCACATTTTGTATGCACTCCTAATTTCTACTGCTATCCCTTTGACTGCAGGCAATTCCTCCCCATCACAACAGGAAGCTTGTTTAAGTTATCTCAGGCTTTGGCTCATATAGGATCACTGAATTATTCAGGTTGGAAAAGACCTCCAGGATCATTGAGTCCAACTGTAAAAGTACCATTGCCAAGCCCACCACTAAGCCATGTCCCTCAGCTCCACATCCACACATCTCTTAAATCCTTGCAGGGATGAGAGGCAGATGGAGTAGAACTCATTTTTAAAACTTTCACAAAAAGAGTGTCTAATTGTACCTCGGTTAAGGAACTAGCAAAGAGCTTCTAGAGGYCTTGCTACAATCTCTGAAAGACTTCTGCCTCACATATGAAGATAACCTTGAAGGTGAACCTTGGTGTCATAAATGCCTGCCTACGTCACCAACGCCAGCTTTGTCAGGAGCTCGCAGCAGTGCTCTCACACAYGTCATGCAGAACACCAACAAAATCACTTTACAGCACCTGAAGGTTACAAGGTCCTGATGGGCAGCCTTTATCAACTCAGCAGGGGCATCTGAAGGAGCTGGGTTTTTAAAACCATGTATTTTTCCACCTTCTGCAGGCAAACGCGTGTACATTTGAGGAAAACATCATCATCTCCTATTTCTGTTTCTTAGGGTGGGCACCATGGTAAAAGAAAAATTGAAAAGCTGAATGAAAACACAGATGTAGGACAACCCAAACTGAAGGACACGCTACTGCTGGCTGTTACACACACAAGGGCTCTGTGGCTTCAGTGTCACTGGGAGTGGCCAGTGGCCCAACAGCACCAGCACCAGTCCCTGTTAGCACAGTCACATGTGAGACTGGATAAAGGAGCCTGCACCAGCGGGGAACTGCACATCCAGGAATCACAGGGCGCATTTCTGCTCCTGYAAGAAACTTTTTCCCTCGGCCAATATCAGCATCAGCCTCAAAAAGATGGAATTAAACGGTGTTCTGGAGAGATGCTTGTACCCATCGCTACAGAAGACTAAGTGACAGCTGAGAGAGGTCCAAYCCTTGCTCAAGATGCTGCTCAGTAGCAAGAAACACAGAGTGCACAAGGGAAATAGGATTTTTAACAGAAAGTGAGGAATGGCTGTTCTTCTGACTTCAGCAAGGAAGCCAATAAATTCCAGAGATCAACAACTGCGTAATAAAGTGCAAAGTCTGGGGGAAAAAAGAAGTAGTTGAAGTTTGAAAAGCCTACATATTACCATGTCAGAACACATAGGAGTGAGATTAAAAATGCTCGTGGATTCAAGGAGCTGTCAAGAAGTGCTCATGTAATTTCCTCAGCTGAGGAGAACGAGGGTGTATTAGAGCTTTCTGGATGATTCAAGGATGTGTCACTATCTCATAAGCACATCATTTCCTCATGCTTCCGGGCTGGGAGGTTGAAGAGCAGACACTTTCTACCACCCTCTGAGCATGCTGCATTTCAGTGCAAGACTGGACAGCAGCACAGAAAATCACTCAAATAAAAGCACATCGATTTCTTTTACATGTCACTCATGTACTGTGTTCATAAAAGAGAAACGGTTTTAAAAGTTTCACCTTGTTTTCCTTTGCTTATTTATGGGTGCTCCTTCTTCTACTTGAACACATACTTTGGTCAAAATGCAGTCCTAATTTTCTCTTCCTTGTRGAAACACCAGCCACATGCATCTTAGATTACATGCTGTAACCACGAGAAAGGCAAGTGTAATCCATTGGAAATAAATAGATGAAGGTGGATTTTCTGTTCAGTACTCCACTGCCTGTCATCCTGCTTGACTAATTACTCAACTTTGATTACTAGCTTTTAAAAAAAGCCACCCCACTTCACTRTGCTCACCAATCTGAGAACTGAGGCATGGAGAGAGTCAGGAAGGAAATCAGCTTCCCCTGAATACACTGTGTGAAAAAACTCCAGTTTAGACCTTTAAGCTCACTCTATTTCTATACCCACTGCTCAGCAACACTTTTACCACTGGCAMTCTGAGATAGATGGGCTAAGCAAGAGGAATGGGCCTTCCCTTCAGATAACAGTAAGATATTTCCTGTCACACAAGTAGTCATATTTGAAATAATATATTATTTCAAAATAAAACAAAAAAGCACACCAAAACACCATGTTTTCCTGACCTGCTCAGCAAAGCCCTCAAATATCTGCAATGTTCTCGCAAACACCGTCCATGCACCATCTCCTTCTCTGAGCAATAAGCCAGGTTATCATCACTTGCTTTTACCAAAAGCCAGGCTCTGTGACATTCCCAGTAAAACAATAAACATTTATTCAGTATCACAGCAGGGAAACCTGGCTGGCAGAATGTGGCCTCATGGGAAGCATTAGAACGTTCTGTTGATATGTTACATCAYTCTATTCAAAACACACTCAGACTTCATCTGGGGACTCCCTTCTCCACCCATACAAGCCAGAAGCCCTTTCCATTTCAAAATCCTCTTTTACTGCAGGTTCACAGCATATAGGTCTGTGGCAACCAGAATGAAAGCTTACTTAATCCACTCCAAACATAAAYTATAATACATTACATTTCTGGGTTCCTACTGCCTGGGACACTAGAMAACCAGGAAAAGTGTCAATAGATTTTTAAAAGATGATTCTCTCTCTATGACCTGAAAATGAGAACTTTTTRATTAATTCATTATTATTTCATGTCAAAAGATATTGCTCACCTACATTTAAGTCACARTCTACATGGGCTGAACAGGACAGAAGGTGGTCCACATACAAAGGCCAGCAGAAGGTATTATCTAAACACAGGGAAAAATATTATTCATATTAAATATATCCTTGTCACAAGATAAAAACAAACATAAAGAATAACCAAGCAAACATACACAAAAAAAAAAAAACCAACCCCACCCCATCCCAAACCAGGAAATGGATTTTACACTTTCAGTGCATACATTTGCCATAAAATTCCCCCAAAAACATGAAAACCTAGGTGAGAAGTTATTTATAAATGCTGGCATTCATTTACATGGGATGGGTCCAAAACAGAAAGTTATGCTGTACTGATTTCCTAACAGAAAAGAGAAAAAAAACACCACAGCAAATCTCTCTACTATCTTTAAAATTTWAAAAAAAGTTGGAGATGCTTAAAAATCCCCCAACAGACAAGGCACCCAACAATAGCCTTCCAAACTCCTTGATGTATCTTCCTGCTAGAAAACCAATCCATAACTAAGCATTCACAGGTGATGCCTTTGCATGGAACGAAGCAAATTCTCCAACTCCTGTTCAGTATCTGTTAAGGTGGAAGATTGCCACGAGGAGGTGTGAATCTATTGCATGGACACAGACCAGTGCAACAGCCTTCTTGTGTAATTAATCCCACCTCCCCTAACAAAGCCAGCATTGGGAACTGGGAACACCAATCATACACAGCCATGCCCACCCAAAGCACCTGCTGTTCCAATGGCAACAAATGAAATAACTTTTACACAGGGAAGCAAAAATAAACACGTYGGCATCAGTTCCAAACTGTCTCTTGGGCAGCTAAAGCCAAGATTCAAATGGTGGCTGCCAAGAGATGACAGCTTCACTTAATCACTGTGACATAAACCATGACAACACATCATTGCCAAGCAGTGCCTTCCTGTGAGATCCACGAGTGGCTCTGGAGCACGAAGCAAAGGATCTGAAACCTGGGAAGAGCCACCCCAGCAAAGGGCTGGGCACATTTTGGTGAGCAGCCTGAGAACCCACAGCATCCCACAAAGAACAAACTACAGGGAGCCATCCCCTCCCTGTCTTCAGGCAAAAGGCAGCAGCAGAACCTGGGGGGAGAACCCTTCAAACACAGAGGTCACTGCCCACAACAGGCTCTGCTCACTGCGCTCAGCCCTTGACTGGGATCTGGTGTTTGTCCCTGGAAGGACCCAGGCTGCAGATCCTCTCACTTCCCATCATTAGTTTGTAGTCATACGTACGTGACAGCAGCAGAGCAGCAAAGATCTGCTGAAGATTGGGCTGGGTCCTTTTGCCCCTCTGTCTGCTCCAACTGCTCACTCCTTTTTGAGCTGCAGGAAGAGGCTCTGCAGACCTCCCTGGCTCCTGCCCATAATCCAGTGGCAAAAGCCTGGCAGGAGGCAGTGGAGAACGAAAACTCATCCTACTCATCATTCTTGTTGCCATCCCCTTTTCTAATCTTATCCCAGAAATTCAAACTGAACTAATGCATGACACTCTTTAGGCTCTGCCTAGGGGCAGGGCCCTGTGATCCGAGAGCACCTTGTGACAGCCCAAGGAAACAAAGTTCTGAGATGAAAAACATCTCCCTTTTTGTTCCTTAATGCTTCACATGTGGCTCCTGACAGCTCTCCACATTCACCAGTATCTTCCTCTCCTATTGCCAGCCACAGTTCTGCAAAATTCTAACAAATAAACCAGCTCTCCACTCAGAACACTGTATACAGTTTTCCCCACTTTAACAAATACATGCAAATCAAGTGTTTAAAGCAGCCCCCAAGAGCCCTCATTTCATCACTGGACATGATTAATTCTGCTGAAGAGCGGATGAGAAACAAAGCATATACTTAATTTCAACACAGTTTACTGGAAGGAGGTGTCACATTTTAAGAACAGGATCCACTCATGATTGAAGACYGAGCTGCTGCAACTTCAGCCATAAGCATTAAGCACATTTGGAAATTCCCTGGCAAGGCTGTTTAAGGAACAGACATTTCCTGTAATTTTCAGAAACATTTTATATCCCCCCACCTCCTTTTTAGTCTTGGTGGTAAGAAGGGGAAGGGAGAGAGAGGATACCATATTACCATGAAGTGAAATATGAATAAGCCACCCAAGTTTTAAGTGGAAACTTCAGCTATTTGTGCTTAGGAGAACGTTTTTAAAAAAGTCTTTCATCATTAAGAGGCCAGATTTTTCTGCTGACTTTAGAAAAAGAAATATACATCCTTTCAATTAGGGTGAGTTACAGAAGGATATAAACTTGTCTTTATACTTACTTCTGGCAAATAAGAAGTCCTCCAGGCCTTATTTAAATACCTTTTTCTATTTTCCAGAATTCGAAATGGAAGCCTTTTCTTCTCCTCTCTTGCTCAGGGCCTTCCCTAAGCTGCAGCTAAACAAACCCAACCAGTCGGGTCACGCAGAGCGTTCCTCCCACAGCACACAGTGAAGAGCACTGAGCAAGAGAGAAGCCACGGAGATATGGAGCAGTCAAATGTGACAGCATCCCTCTAAGGACCTCACCACCTTCTTCTTCTTCTCAAAAATCTAATCTTGTATGAAGTATCCGGTATAAAATTTATAAAGTTTACCGTAAGTTAAGATTATTTCACTTATCTAAGTGATCCAAGCCTGAAGAGCTGCAACCCAAAGCCACAGCATGTAACACATGAATTCACAAATCAAATTAAAACTGAAGGGCAGTTGCCTATCACCAAAAAAACATCCTGAGTGCTACTTTGGCCCTGTATTCCATTCATCATGGAATAGGGACCAACTGTCCACACTGGCCACCCTCTACCAGCTTTCAAAGACACAACGTAACACACAAAGAAAACAAAGTGGCRCAGTGAAAAAATTAAGGTGTTGAACAGATTAATAAACCTTCAAGCACATTGCAATTCCAGCATATCTTTGCYATTTGTGTGACAAGGGTGCTTTAGAGCAGCATCTTCCAGGACACCAAGGTTTCCAGCTCCTACACAAGCTGCCTGTTCTGAACTGACAGCTCTGCAGACCCATACAAACAGTGCCTTCTGTATTTTATGTGGCCATCTTTTTGCTGAGGAACAGGTTAAAAAGAGGAGTGCTCAGAAGAGTAGTGCTAAATAAACACCAAGCACAGCTGTTGTCATAGTCCATGCTACTTCTTTAAAAAGCTTACCATGAACGGAGGTAAGATTGAACCTCAGAGTTCTTCAGATAACGATTACCTTTTAAATATAAGGTATTATGCCTAGTAAGAGCCTTTAAGGGGGAGACATCCAAATAATAYAGCCCTGCAAAGAAGGAGGCCAAAAATTAGACTTAAAAAAAGGCAACTCTGATCTGCTTTGTGATCACTKTATGATAAAAACAGAAGGTGGATCTGAAGCCTTTGAACAAGGACCAGGATGGATTTAAGACATAGGATAATGATGGAAATTCTACTAGGGAAATTAATCAGAATAGCTTCTGGGCAAGGCAGGGATGAGTTTATTGCAGTAGACTTTTTATTGACTCTTCTCTTAAATTAAACTGAATTACTAAAGTGAGTCAATCTTCTTTAAGAACAGAGACTTGTAAATTGCTCGCAGGATACAGTACAACGTGGGTTAAAATGTTCTGGTCTTTCACCCATTTGAGGAAATTACACCAGTTCTCCCGGAAGGCAACATGCACATTCAACCCCTTCACATCAGGGCATGAGAAAATTTGGAAGGAATTTTTCTTCTTTTTTTTTTTTTTTTTTTAACTGTCAACATTATTACTTTGTTTCTTCCTGCTTGTGTTTGAAAATATAGTGCTGCACTGCGCTGCATGCATGTCCTGTCAGCTGTACAGGGAAACATCTAGAAGTTTAAAAAAATACCTAATAAAAGTGTTAATTAAGTCTGTTGTCAAACTCATTTTAAAAGCCCTCTGCATGCTCTAAAGAAAATTAATATTGTCACCAGAGTACGCTACATAGTGATAAAAATATGCAGCAGCATCTTCAGCAGGGAGGCTGGGCCAAATAAAACACTGGCATTACACATATGTAAGCTCAGTCCTGCTGATTAAAGAAGTTAAATTTAATTTGGTTTCTCCTTCAATGACRTTTACATGGCAAGGAAACAGAAGAGATGGTGGAGAACAGCAAGTCCACAAACATGATACAGCACAACTGTCCTGAAGAGGGAMTAGAGAAGGAAACTCAGAATATGCTGTACAGCAATGGCTCTCAATTAACATGGGGRAATAAATCAAGTTGTTTTGATGTTCCCAGAAATTAAACAGTTGCAGTATTCCTGCTAAGAGATCTGGCACATTGGGCTGTTCAGAGCAGTGAGGGATTCAGACTATGATACAGAGTGATGGCTGAATTGCAGATGAGGCACAGAAAATACAATAACAAATTCCTAAATCCARATGATTGGGACCCAGATCTCTCACCATGGTGTAAGACTCTGGGAACAGAACATGTTTTCATAGCTAATTTGTACCCACAATGGTAATTAGGATGTCCTGCTTATTGAAAATTGCTTTAGAATATTAATTTAATTGACAAGATGGTACCAATAGGGCCTCAGTTGGGAACAAAAGCAAGTGCCATGGTACCTCAGTGAGCTATGATCCCAATAATGTGCTCTGGAATGTCTTTCCCAAGGGATCCCAAGTGCTCCTTTGAATTTGAATCATGTTCTACAAGACCTGCAGCAGTGCCAAAGCCACATTTCTAACATGGTAACCACATGGCTGRGAAGAGAAGCCACATCCATGTGCAGAGTGGGAGAAGGAGAGCGGAGGATGTTCCCCAGCTGTGCCTCTTGCACAGCCTGTGTCCCTACAAACATTACCACTGCAGCACAATCACAGAGTCACAGAATGCTCTGCTTTGGGAGGGACCCTCAAGATCATTTCATCCCAACCTTCCTGCCATGGGCAGGGACACCTCCCACCATCCCAGGGTGCTCCAAGCCCTGTCCAGCCTGGCCTTGGACATTTCCAGGGATCCAGGRGCAGCCACAGCTGCTCTGGGCACTCCTCACCCTCACAGGGAAGAATTTCTTCCCARTATCMCATCAAACCCTGCCCTCTGCCARCATGAAGTCATTCCCCCTCGTCCCATCATTTCACGCCCTTGTAAAATCTCTTGTAGGTTCCCTTCAGCTGCTCCAGCCTGGAGTAGAGGATGAAGAGTGAGATAACCACAAATTACAGCAATCTTCTTAAAGAACAACTGACAAAACGAAAATACCATTTTATGCAGTGGACAAGAATTAAAAGGGACCAGAACTTTYTAAGTTTTGAAAGGAAAAAATGTGMAATACCAAACCAAGGGAGTAAATTATGYTGTTACAATGAGATAGGCATCTTMCTCAAGGRCCAGGGTCAGCAAGAAATGTTTTAYAGCAACCTCTCTATGTGAATACCAAAGAGAAACAAAACATACTCCCTTAAAATAAACTGGTATTATCCCATTTGATGCGCGCTTACACGTATGCACAGCTCTGTACAAATCTATAAACATAAACAATATTTTACATTTCTTCCAAATTTTAGAGGTGTCTTGCTTTAAAAAGCGACCAGAAAGGCACTGACTGTTGTAAAGTAATCCCAAGGTTAGAGAGCTCAGTATATTTCTGCAATAACTGAACTAATACATCAACAGAATGGATCAACTCTAGAGCATGCAGAGCCAACTAAACTACCTGGAAAGTTTATTGTCTGCAAACTGCAAGATCCTTCTATTTCTTAAGTATTCAGCAACAGAAGAAGCATTAGTTCCTTGTCAGCAATCATCAATAAATAACACTGATTAGTTTTATAATAACTTATTCTACATAAATTCTTGTTTATACCACTGGCACGTGTTCTGGTAATTTCCAGACAGACTTCCAGTCTGCATGTGAGCAGCCAATAGGAATGAGCTGGGTTTTGGTAGCAACGCTGAGGTTTTTACCTCCAGAAACTGATCCTGTAGGATAAAGGTGTACGATGGGTGGTCCTTAATCACTTCCTTTATGTGAAATTGAGGTCAGAGTAGAAAAAGAGCCAAGGAAGGAAGTCTGCAGTACCCCTCACACCCCCACACCTTCCTGAAAAACTCCTTTAACAGTGCAGAGGGTTAACTTGTACTTTAAATGAAGTAGTCAGAGGTTGGGATAGAAATAAACAGCTTGCACAAGCAAGATACTGTGCTATTAAGTTTTTATAAGTGACTTAAAAATTAGGTCAGTCTAATTTGTGGCTGATACTTTGTTCTTTCACGACTATGAACTCACAATGATGTCATTCTCATGTTCCAACATGCCACATTTAGCAGTGCACAGGCTTCCTGAGAGACTCTCTCAACCTTCCTTTGTGCACAAGGCTTCTGCCAGATTCTTAGCTCATACTTCACTGACTCAGGCATGCCACTCCAGTTTCAAGGCAGTTACACTGGCTTCCCATCAAATACTGCACAGTTTGGGGTGTTTTTTTTCCTCCTCTTTTTTTTTTTTTTAAATTTTTTTCTTTAACTTTACTGACTAGAAGTTTAAGAAAATATTTCCATATTTAGGTCTCACCTTCCTCACAACATCCAGGAGAGAACCACACACTAAAAGATGTGGGAAACAGGTGTTTTTAACTAATTCAACCCAATAATTTCAGTAATCAAAGGGGGCCTACRAGAAGGTCAGAGAAGGGCTTTTCACAAGGGCATGTAGTGATAGGAAAAGGGAGAATGGCTTCAMAYGGAAAGAGYRTAGGTTTAGATTAGATATTAAGAAGAAAYAGAAATTCTCCCCTGGGAGGGTGGTGAGGCCCTGGAACAGGTTTTCCAGAGAARCTGTGGCTGCTCCTGRATCCCTGGCAGTGTCCAAGGCCAGGCTGGAGAGGGAACATTCCCTCAGACAGGCACACTCATCTTTATGGGTGAACATMCTTTTATGATGAGGGCACAGAAATTTTTGGGTCAGAGTAAAAGAAAGCCCTCTAGAAATACAAAAGCAGGTAAAAACAAACAAACAAAAAAAAAATGGCCATCTGTAAGTTTGTTCTCAACAATCCCAATTCTCACCATTTAATTCAAGTTTGTGCCTGTCATTAAATGTCTGTACAAAACACTGACTGCAGTGAAGATGCAAACAATCTGTGTTTGCATTGCATAGACCTGACCCCATAAAAAGCTGGGGCAGAAGGAAAAGAGGAAAGAAAGAGTGGCCATTTTGATGCTGCTAAAGCCTTTCTCTTGGGGTTACACGTGAGAGATGTATCACCAGCCCAGGCTCTCCCGTTCTCTCATTCCTGAGGTCGTGTTTCACAACTTACACAGACATTTTTACTGGGKTTTCTTGGTGGATTTTAAAGTTTCACATCAGTATGTTCAAACCTGTATTACATATTCATGGAACAGTGCTATTGCATGAACCCTTAATGAGTTAGAAAAGCATCCCACTGTGTCTCAGGGAATGGCACATCATCCAACAGTGATTCCCAGCACCATGAAATGCCAGGTGAAGGAAAACATCCAGATGTGGCCSACAAGAACTGCATATCCAGCAGATCCCCACCATTCCTGCTGCATCTGCAAGTGCCTGAGGATACAGGAAAGGCAGGGAGAGGTGATATCTTTTATGAGAGAGGTTAATACAAAGCGATAAGGAGAGGGAGGSCACGAACTCCAGAAAGCACAAGCCCTTCCTCACATACACTGACGTGAAACAGAACCAAACCATGACACAGAAACAACACAAGGCTTCCAAAACATCTCCACAGCCTGCCTGTCCCTCTTCCCAAACAGGAAAAGAAGTCCAAAGCACATCCCGAAGCATGTAATAAATTACACAGTGAATCATATTCCTTATGGAAACTGTCTGGCTGAAGTCACACCGCTGGAAATATGTGATAAAAGACAGAAAGAAACTTAAAAGATGCCCTCCAGGAAAGAACATTCCCTCCACCCAAATTCTTGGAGTTAATACCAAGACAAGAAAATCCTGGAGTCACCACCAAGTTACTAGATKTTTGGTTTTCCCCATAAATAAACTTACCCCTGCATTATAAAGTTGGTTTATTACTATTAACTGACACTTGACCTAGCTTTATATTCAGTGCATTTTTTTTCAAGATTTAAGTGAGGTTTGTTTTCCTGAAACCTTGCCTGTCTTCTCTGAATAAGTCAGTTTAAACAGAAAAAAAWTCTTCTCCTTGCAAACCCTTCTTGCAGGCTGCTCAAAAAAAAAGTTTGCATTTTCTGAAAAAAGAAACAAACAAAAATCCACCCAAACAAACAAAAACACCACAGGAAAATTACACTTTCCTTTAAAGTTACTGAACTTTACTGAGTTCAGGTTATTGAAAAACTTTGAACATTTCCAGCTATAACTAAAAATGTACTGCATTGCTAAAAATTCTAGAACCAGAAGTTTCATTCTGCAGTGCAACAAGGAGGCAATAACTTAGGTCTCTTAAACTAAATCCCGTTTTCTTTTCCTGGAGTTCCAAGCTGAACTAAGTAGCAGTGAAAAAGACAGCAAGTGAAACGAAGCACATTTACCTTTATAAAGCTGTGGCAGTGATGGATGTAGCTGATGTGTCTSTTACCATGTCTTTGTTACCTGGGCTCATTTTGGCTGGTTTTTAAACTTTATTTSAATTGCAAAGAAATGCCAGCTAGAGCTGTTCACCCCCAGGAACGGTGAGTGCAGTTAGAGTCTCCCCAGGAAGAGAGAATGAAAAGATGAACCCTGGTGCTTTGAGCCACAGAGTAAAAAGAGCCAATTCCTCCCAATAAATACCAAAAGAGTTTCAGCTGTGCACACTTAGGCGRGAAATCTTTCCCAGCACAGAATTCATCCCTGCCTGCAGCTGCCCTCTCTGATAGGATTCTAGCACGGGTCAAAATGTGCAGGAAGAGAGCTGAGCACAAGCACAGAGCGAGGTCACCAGGAAAGGGGGGAAGGACGAGCTCCTCCCTCCTCTTCAGGCTTCCTCCTCTGCAGCCACAGCACCAGGCTGGAGCATGAATGGATGCCTGGGGCGGGTGCAAGTCATCCAGAACCTCAGAGATGGCAAAAKTCAAGTAAATCCAAATAATTCTTCAGAATATATTAAGTCTTAAATGAGCTTAGACTACCTTGGAAGAGGCAAAATAAATAAAACCTATGACTTAAATCTAGAAAATGTATCTAGGCTACCTGTGGCTACAATGCCTATCCAGGACTAAAACATTCCTCCTGAACTTGTTCTCACCATCAGTTTAAAGCAAGTCTTGCCAAGGTTCAGCTTTCTGGCACTCCATTGAAAGCATAACCACATAAGACCTTATTGAGAACCAGCTTTAGGTCTGGCAGGGAGAGCACCTGGCATCAAAGGCATGCTTAAGGCCATATCCATGAAATTTAGTGAAAAAGCAAGAGGCTGCAGGTTGGGGTGGGGGGGGATTTAATGCTTTTGGCAGCTAAATTATTCTGATATTCCACAAATGCTTCAGTGCAGGGGAGATGCTTTAACTTAAGACTCAGGAGCTACCTCTAAGCCAAACCACCAGTGTGGTGCTCAAAGCAGCCTGGACAGAAAGGRGGGCTTATTTGTGCAGGCTCACATCATGGCACAGCTACAGAGCTTCCCAAACCCCAGCTAAACATGTCCTCCACGGCAATCCACAACACAGGGCACATGGACTGGGCTGAGCATGTTCAGTGCCACAGTGCCACAGCCACAATGCCATGGTCAGCAATTGCTGCTGTGTGCCATTACTGCACCAAACACTGCTKTTGTCATTACTCCAGCTCAGACACGAAAATGAACTTGCCACCAGCACAAATAGGTTGTTGCAGACAGCAGGGGCTGTATATGGAATCGAGTGAGAAGTGTGCTCGAATAACTGAACAAGAGGAAAAATATRCTACTGCTCCAAGAAGATGAACCCAGCCACCAGATATTAACCCACAAAATGTAGAGTATTCCCCAGGAGGTGATACACCTTTTTAAACAAAGTATGCACATGGATGGGAAAGGGGAACTTGGCCACA